AGCATCTTTGAACCTGCATCTACATTTCCCACAGGTGGTTCCAATATCTCACTCTCGGTTTACTTTACATGCTCAGATTTTATAGTGTCAAATTATGCATGGAAAGGCATTTGGCTGGAGGGACTGAGGAAAAATATGGTATCGGCGATGAGACCTTCTGAACTTGAGGCAGAACTACCCAACGACCTGACCTCGACGTTCAGTGAACATCTCAGTTTGAGCAATGATGTTTGATAAGAATGTGGTGAGTACAGTTAATTACACATGCCTCAAACTACAAGCGAAGTACAGGATCATTTAAACTAAATACACAGACTGAGGTTCTTTGGGAACAAAGCGTTAACGACAATGAACCAACCAAGAAACCAGTACCTGAGGCTATTCGATCTATTTTATCCCATTCAAAGAATTATACACGCGGTTAGCGGCCCTCGTGTGTAAGAATCCATTCAATTCAATGGCGCTTAAGCCCAAATCAGGCACTGGCCTCAACTGTGACCTATATTAGAAATTTACAGAGGTTGAGAGGTTACAGCTGCTACTCCAGCCAGTAGAGAGTCAAGGACCGGTCACACCATCGCAGGCGGACAGGACGCAAGTAAAAGATTTATCATTGTACTGGGATGAAAGAGAAAGGAATAGGCAGGAAGTGGGTCTCGTAAACCTCTTTACAAAACTCGTACGTACGCACAAAAACACTTCAAACCTTTTAATCTGAATAATGTTTAAGAATTCAGTCCGTACCTCAAAGAAAACACAACACTTCACTATTATAAACATCAACTGGTTACCGCTGTTTAAGGAAATAATCGCTGTTTGCAGTGTGAATCATACGAGACATAAACAGATATGCAGAGCCACCGACTGTTAAAGCTGGCTGGACATACAGTTACCATTGGGCTTTAATGGGTAAAGCCACTTAGGTAACTTATATGTAGGCCTTCCACCTACTTAGCATTCAGTAACTCTTGAGTTTTGTCCACAGAATGTATTGACGGGTTTCGTGTGTAATTCTCAGAAGAAACAGCTACTACTTCCCTAAACTGCGTTGACCTATTGGTAATAGTGATGAGTTGTATTTTCTCTGAGGCAGAAACTGAATTTTAAAGGAAACTGTTGTTACTCAGATGAACTTCCATATTTAAACGGCTAAGAAACTGAGTGATATACAAATTACGCAATAAAAACAGCTATTTATAACGCAAAATTCGTGGCCCAACATGGTACCTCTGGAAATTTAAGTAAACCTAACGCTAATCTAACCTGTTCGGTCATGTACAAGAATTACACGTCCAAAGAAATTACCCGCAAACACGAAACAGAAGTGACACTCTACAACCCACACTAAATTAGGACACGCGAATATTTAAGTCAGACTGTACCACAAAAATAAAGGGCAAACACAGAGCATAAGAGAAACACAAAAAGACAAGGGGCATATCATTAGCAGAAAACAGCAGGCCTGATTAAAATTGCCGGCTTACAGCATCCTTGTGAATCCTACTGTGATGCAGCTCTGAACTATGAATAATCCGCGAATCAGACGAAAGAGAAATAACGAGGACAGAAATGTTATTTGGGCGGACAACAAAGGTTAATAATTTATTAGAGGGAGAAATTTTTACTGATGCCAATTTTGCTGAAACAAGATCAAAGAACGCATGAAAGGATTTATAACTGCAAGCTCCATGAAACAGTCATCTTTCTCAACAAGATATAAGGTAAATGGCCGTCCCGTGAGTGATATATGAAAATGATAACGAATAAGCTAGTGAGACTTCTGTTGCTCTGAAAACAATTCCGTATTCTGCTCCAATATCTGATTTGCAACATTCTTCCATATCAAGAATCAGTAGATCTGTCTCTATTGTCAGAAGATGAATAACATTTGTAAAGTGCCTGAATTTAACAGGAGTAAACAACTTTTAATCATATGATTCATGGGATAAAATGTAGGCCTACAATCTTTGCACAAACGCAGTTCATGACTTCTTATGTTTAACACCTTTTTTTTTTGTCTTCAAGACAACGCCCAGCCAACAACATTTAGTTCAGTAAGAGTGAACGATCCGAATTCAATTCTCGACAAGGACATGAAATTATTCTCTTCGCCACCACGGGCCAAACAGTCTCATCATATCAACTCGATACTGGGTAAAGCAGCTACAGCGTGACCCTAACCACTCATTCCGTCGAATGCATGATTAAGATCGAACGTAACTTCTCGTCCAGTCCATCACATGTTTATCTTTCAGCCAGACTTGTAAGATATCGTATTCTGCCTGAATTTCTTTATGACATTTCAGTATCAAAATGTCACTTTTGCGTAATGATAAACACAAACATACGGCAACAGTCATCAAAAAGTTGTAAACTGCATTTAATTTCATACATGTTAACATTTAATCCGACCTCTTTACAACAAAAAAATTCACCCAACCATCAAATTACGTAGTTCTTTTCCACGAAAGACTTCATCTGTTTTTGTACAAACTGTTCCTTCAGGTACCAGATAATTCCATAACAAACTCTTCCTTTGTGTTGTAAGCTTTCATAAACTCAGTGCCTTCTACTCAGTTTCAACCACAGTTTTTTTTTAAGAATTGATATCCCGAGAGAAAAACAGAATTTGTAAAGTAGTTTCATTCACTTCTACAAAACTTCGTTCATAAAAAATACTAAGGCCCATTCCTCTATCATTTTGTTGTTACAGATTGAGATATGAAAATTTAAAGATATCAGGTCACCGTTTCTTCTAGATATTTACCTAACGATACATTATGCTTATCGGGAGACCAGCGTTGTACGTTAACTTGAAGAGCTTCCAGTGGGATTTTCAAGCGCACAAAGCCGCGGGGTGAGCGGCTTGTGTGGCTTGGCCTGTAACAGACGAGGAACACACCGGGTTCGCCTTCTCGTATACCTCATTGTACAGAGAATTAATAATTTGGGGAAGAGTAGAATTGCGCAGAGCTAAACCGAGAACAAGGGATGAGAATCATGCTAATGTATAAATGTTAGAACGTTTAACCAAGTTCCGTAATTGGAAAGCGTGCGCTAAAGTAACGCAGTAAAACTTGCCTGAAACGTAACTCTGAATAAATGAAAACTTGTCTTTTGACATAAAATGATTAGAACTGCGGTTCTAAAATTTATCTCGGAAGAAACATTACTGTTGGAAATTCTATAGAATTAGCCCCGACAGAGGGCGAAACATGTGAAGAACAATTTTTTCAATGCCCTGATGATGGAGGCATTGAGCGCCTCCGAAACGTTGATAAAACTTCTACCAGATTGCAAGGCACAGCAACCCTGAAGAGTCATCTTCATACTCGCCGCCGTCAGAACCTGAATTCTTACAATGAGCAGGGATGCTGCGAAAGCATTTAGAATCGGTTATAAGGTTTTAGTCTGAAAGACATAATTAGGATCTATGCATAGGTGAGGGTATGACATTGATGTTGATCTTAAATTACAGAATTCGAAGCTTTTGGACTGTATTCGACTGGTTCAAGATAAGGCCGAATTGTGCGGTTCTTGTGAACATGGCAATGGACCTTTCGTTCCATAAAGGAGAGGAGGGGGATTTCTTGACTGGCTGAGTGACTATCAGCTTCCCAAGGACGACGGCGGTCGAACGGTGGGGTGACACGGGATGAGAGAAGGGTGGTGAAAGACATATCTGATGCCATTTCATTACTGAATTCAGTCCACTTGTTTACATACGATTTCTGTAATAGAAGTTATTAGGGCCCATATTATATTCCTATTTACGTACTGGTTTCTCGAAGTAATTGTTAATAAGAGAAAAGTCTCTGCGAATTTCGACATGTTGGTTTCGCAGTTGAAAAGAAATTCAGAAATCGACTGGAAAGAAAGATGGCGGACAAATGAAAGAACCGCTTTAAATGCATGAATGTCAACTGAACGAAAAGAATCTCGTATTTAAGAATATTATTTGAGTCTGCTCACACCCAAGATCCATGATCTTTTTAACGCTTCTCATTCCGTCCGATAACCCGGAAGTCCAGATAGCATGAGAATAAATTGAAGGCCAGTCCTCAAGGAAGAGAAATCAACTTCCTAAACATGCAGATTCTTATAATGAAACAACTTTGAAAAAAAACACAAGTTATGTAATTTTTGTAGTAATTCCTGGAAAATGTTATATCCAGAATAAATCCTAGAGATATTGGAAAGCTTACTCATGCGAGTAAATGACAGCATCTTCTTTGTCTTGTCTTGTCTTCTGCCATGCAAGGATTAAGCCACAAGCTTCAGTACGTTAATCCGGTCTACATATAAAGTCTCTCTTCATCCTTGTAGATGACAATTCAATACCGGATTTAATAAACTCTATATCGAAAAAAAATACAGAACATCTAAGACAAAGAGGAAGAACTATGGGCCTAATATCACCCGTTGCTTGCATGGGTGTAAAACACGGTCTCTCACATTAAGGGCAGATGGCTGTCATCAACAGGTCCATGATGACTGACGCAGCAAATACCTCTGAAACCTCAAATCCTACACATGGAGTGTGTTCGAGAACAGGGTGTTGAGGTCAGTATTTGACCCTACGAGGGATAAAAGCGGCACGGAGCTGGAGAAAATTCCATGAGGAGCTTCATAATTTGTACACTTCGCCAAATATTATTACGACGATGGGAACGATAAGGCATGCAGAACGCATGAGGAGGAAAGACATGCGAATAATATTTTTGTTTGCAAATCTGTATAAAAATAGCCGACATAGAACACATATGTGTAGATGGGAGGATAATATTAAAATGTATCTTAAGAAAACAGGATGGGAGGATGTGGACTGGATTAATCTGATCAATGTACGAAAACTTATGATTCAATGAACGCCGGGGGGCGAGGGGAATTTCTTGGCGAGCAGAGTGAAACGAAACTTATCTTATGTTTTTGGGTTTGACATCAACGTGTTATACAGCAGTACTTACGACTAAAAAAGACGAAGTTCATCTTCATCTTACCTTAATGTGGTAGGAGTTCAGCTTGTGGCGTGGGAGAGAGTTAAATGAGCTGAAGTCCTGACGCCTGGAGAAGATGCCATTACCGCCACTGCTGCCGTAACTGAGGAAAAAGAAGAACACGAGTATGGTAACTGTTTCACAAAGCAGCACACGAAAACCCTACCTGTGGTTTCAGAACCAGTTTTTAAGAACATGCTTGATGCTGGTTTGAACATCCAGTAAGAGATAAAAAGGGACATCCCGAAACAGCACCAGAGACGGAATTTCGGGGTCACGAAATCAGTTTCTACATCCACAGACCAGACTTCAGGTTCCGTAGTTGCACTGACCCAAGCAACTACAAATCAAAATTCAAAACTGCCTTCTGCACCCCTGCTCTCATGGGTTTTGCTTCAACATTATTATCAACGCCGATCTCCTGCGTAGATCAGCGGAAAGAGAAAATAACTTTCGAAAAAACTTGAATCCAGAGACGAGTGAACAGTGTGCTGTCACCCTAAGAATTAAATCCGGCTGAAATAAAAAGGTATACTTAATTCATGCCAAATAAGAGTCCTAATTAGCAGCTAAAATCACAGAAGTTAACACACAAAGAAGTATTCAGTTCCTGGTTGGTACCGACAATATCAAGCCTCTCCATTCAATTATTATTAATTTTCTGGTAATTCGCAAAATAAATCTAAATACAAACGCGCAAAGGTCAGTCACTTTTCTTTTAAAACCCCAAATTACTAAAACACATCGTGTTCCCCGCGTGGGGGGAGGGAGTCAGAAAGAATAAACTGTGCCAACCTAACTAAGGGCTCTTCGAAATACAATGACCACGCACCCAGCCTCCTATCCAAAGGGTACCGGGGTCCTTTCCCGTGGGTAAAGCGCGGCCGGGGCGTGACGCTTAGACCCCCCCCCAAGCGCCTACATGGCGTACAGCGGGACAGCTTTATTTTTTTACTCAACCAAAACAGTTATTTATGAACATTAAGTATCGTATTCATATTTCTGTTGTGGAGACGGCTTTCACCAAAACTTTCCGCGGAAGGCAAAGACAGTTCATAGGTTATTTAAAGACGATATATCAACTGCGAAGTTATTTACTGTCATGAGATTATACTATATAGATGTAAGTTACTGCTACCTGGAATGGGTTTGGAGGAAGTGTCTCGCTCCAAGTGAATGGAGGGTGTTAGCATTCGCCTAGAGAGACAGCGGGAAACCTCTTACAGATTCATCAATGCTCCAGTCGATATTATGTACGGTTACAGCTGCCAGTGTGTTTACCCGATCAGCGTGCATGAAAGGGCACTGACGCAGAGAAAGCACCATTATTCTAGAATTCTTTTAAAGAACAATGAAGCTATCAAAACTTTACGTGCAGACCAAACATGTCGGCGTCAAGCCGATAGATGTATTGAAAAATAACACAATACAACAGTTTCTGAAACACATAATCTGATTCTGACAACTTTTAATTAATGAAAAAATAATATTTTAATTAAATACGTCATTCAGCCTTCCTCTTAAGCAGAGAGTAACATAAATGTGAGATACACCTGGTAATACGTACACACCCAATACTGATTTCTTCTTTCTCAATAGCGCGCGTTCTACGTCAGTTGGGATGATTGTAAATAATAAGTTAGGACGAAAGCAGCTGTGGTCTATATGGAAATATACTCTGACATAAAATTATAACTCAGTAAACAAAAATTCAATATGATGGTCTGAAACCTAATACAATGAACAACGTTTTAGTGCTTCACGCATTACTGTGTCCTCTCCTACTACTTCCGTTAATTGAATAAAGCCTGCATGTATCATTACAACAAGAATTACATTTTTATTTTACAAATCATTTCCTTTCTCAATTAACAAATTTCAAAACAATCGTGTACCGACTTCCCTCGTTATACACGGTGGTTGCATTCCCGCAAATAGTGGCGTAAAACGGGAACCGTATACGAACCATAACTTTGAAGTCAAAATGGAGACACGTTTTCGGAGACAGCCAACGTCAGAGCCCTGTAAATTCATACCACACATCTGTACAAAATCATGTCGTTACGATTCTGAAATTTTTAGGACACTCTGTAGACAGAATGTTTGCTCAAGCAGGCTGGCTTTTACGGAATGAAGCATTCCTTTCTAATAACTGTCGCCGCAAGATGGGAACAGCATTAAGCAGTTGTTTCGACACAGTGCTTCTTCAATATCGTAATGCTTGCCGATCCATTTCACCGCGAATGTGACATGTCAACAAATCCATCAAGCGACCTGATGATGGAGGCAGTAAGCAAATGTGAAGCAAGGGCAAACTTCCACCAACAAACACAGAAACATCGCTGTACCTGCTTGGGAATCAAAGCTAAGTCCTGCAGTCCGAGGGCTGAGACGTCTGGCTCGATACCATGACAACAACAAAATAATCTCAACATAAATAATGTTATTTGTCAATAAGAATTGCAAGCATTAAAGCATGACGTTTGTATGCGCCACGACCGATAAAACATGTTTCAAGGTCGGAATTATCTCCATAAACAGAACACAAGGCAAACCGAAAGCACATCCATAAGGCATAACCACACTACTTCCCTTTGCCTCAGGAAGTTGTATATTTGTAGTTAAAAAAAGAACACAAAACAACTTTTTCGTCTTCCTTTCGTACCGAAAAGTTTGAACACACAACTGAAAGCATGCATCAGCCAGCAGGCATACACAAGCGTCTCTTTTCAACACAGCGTTCCAATACGTAAACCGCGGGCCACATGCACCTCTAATGGGACTTGCTCTCGTACACTTCTCCGTCCGAATTTAATCGGGGAAGTACAAATACAGAATGGGACGTGAGGATGCGATGGTTTTCCGTGGGCAGCGATGTGAAATACGTCACATAATCGCGACCCCCCCCCACCCCCTTAAAAAACAATTTGGGATATTGGTCTCATTAGCTCAGCCGACATTTTGAGTCAGTTATCAGAGTTGAATACGTCCCCCTAAAGAAACGAGCACATTAATTTCCAAAGAATATATTCGCTGATGCTGGAACAAATTTCTAAAAGACCTAAAAATTTAGGCAATAAAACATTTTAGGAGTCCCCACATATCAAGTTTACCGATTTCAAAATATTACACGAAATGTTACACATGAACGTCAGTCTTAGGTGAAAGTTTTCCAAAAGTTGTTTGTTGTTCCGCCTTTAAAACGTCACCGGAGAACTGAAAAGTATTTGGCATCAGTTACCTAGAACCTGGAACGTGCAGCCTATCACACGTTTTTGGAACATTAGTTTACTGCCAACAAATATAAGAAAATAAACTAACCTAAATAAATAATTACATATTCGATGTTTGAAGTACAGTGTATTTTAATACAAATTCTGTTACCGGGGGAAATTCACCACCCAATTCCCCCTTTACCACTGATTATTTTTTAAACGTCTTGTCAAAATTTAGCTTATGTAACAAAACAGGTACAAGTTTCCTAATGGATAACACACGCCTATTTCATAATTCGCTACTGTCATACACAAAGCGCGTAATTCTCTCCTGCCAGACGCCAGATGAAAAAATAACACCGCGCACTGGACTGCCTCAGGGACACAGTAGACGCAGTCGAACAGGCCTGCATGATAATCCCAGACCCAAGAGATCACTTCTTACGGACTACACTCTTTGCATCATCAATAGGAAAACGTCGTGTCGATGGTACCATGGTGACATGATCGTGAAAACGGAGGTGTTTCCAAAGTAGGCAGAAGCGATTCCAACACTTGGGACCGGAAATTCAAGACTTCCAAACGTCTCCTTCTTCACATTTTCCCGTATTTTGACAAATAACCGATTTCTCCTACAGCCCTGAACTTGTGGAACACTGGGTATAGTGACGAGTAAGTAAAGTAAAGTAAAGCTGTCCCATTATAGGACGCAGAGGCTAGAGGAAAAATCCTCTGTCCCCGTCGGGGATCGAACCCCGGTCGTCCAGCCCGTAGTCAGTCACTATACTGACTGAGCTATCCCGGCTCATATAGTGACGAGTACTCTTCATATTTGTCAGTATACATGAAAAAGTAACGAGAAATGTTTAATTTCAATTCAAGATTTCCCTTTAAAAAATGAAAAGGCAAAATGTTTCGCTATATAAAACTTACGCCTACTACCTTGTTTTTGGCATATCTTAATATTCGAAAGGCCTGTCGCAGATTATTTACAGATACTCAGAACATCCTTCTGAAAGAACTTACTGTTGTATTCAATAACAAAGTCATAAATTACAGATAACAATGTGATACTTCTAATTTTAACTAGACCTCTGCTGATATCATCAGATACCGGAGTAATCAAATAACATACACTAGACCTCTGCTGATATCATCAGATATCGGAGTAATCAATATAACATACGATTAACAAATGGTATGCGTTACCCGCATTTGCAGCGGCGATAATGCGAGATAATCATGTAATAAATAGAACACATAAGATTACCAGTGGATGGGAGTGAAAGAGAATTTATATCGTGAGGATTGTAAACGACCTGTACCTTTGATTCAAATGTATGCACAGATAACACATTCACATTGAGAGCAACTCTTGATATGCATATTTAACACTTTAAATCCCTGTGGTAATTACATACACCATCTTCTTCAACGATCAGTACTGCTGCGTCTTGAATTTATTATTATAAAAAAACTGTGATTATTTATCTAAACAGCGTTAAACAGATGATCTTTGATATGGTGATATGTTTTCTTTGCGGTACAGACTGAATTTTTAAATAATATTCATACTAGCTTTGGCTTCAAAGAGTTTTTTTTCCTCCAAAGTTGCTAAAATTAATTAAGTTGCAACTCTTTTTTGATAAATATAGTTCCTCTGAATTTCAAAACGTTATCAGTTCCAAATCAGATCATTCTTCGGTCTTGTTACTGTAATCTGATATTGGAGAAGCGAGACTTAACACAGGTCAAAGGTGTAGCCAGAGTTTAATCGCGAGGTAATTTTTATGTATCAGTAAGTCATGCACTCTTGCATTATATAAACTACGTAAGGTTTGGTTTCTTAATAATGGAAATGTTCATGACGTCACGCTTATCTGTCATG